CGTGTCCCCGGGGGGGCTGAACGTCCCTGTGCGTGTGCCCTGTGCCCCCCCCCGTCGCAGCCCCTTCGTCCTGGACGAGTTCAAGCGCAAGTACTCCAACGAGGACACGCTGACGGTGGCCCTGCCCCACTTCTGGGAGCACTTCGACAAGGAGGGCTGGTCCCTCTGGTACGCCGAGTACCGCTTCCCCGAGGAGCTCACCCAGACCTTCATGAGCTGCAACCTCATCACCGGTGAGGCCCCTGCCGCCCCCTTGGCTTTCCTCGCCCTCCTCTTCCTCGCTTTCTCTTCCTTTCGGTGTTTTCTTTTTCTTTTTGTTTGGTCTCGTGCTTTTTTTTTCTATTTCCCATCGTTTTCCTTGCATCTCGCATCCATTTCCTTCTCTGTTTTTTCTTTTTCCTTCTCTATTTTTTCTCCTTTTTTTTTGCTCCCTTTTCCATTTCTTTCCATTTTTTCCATTTCTTTTCTTGTCCCTTTTTTTTCTCTTTTTTCAATTTCATTTTTTGTCCATTTTGTTTCATGTCTTTCACTTCGCTTTTGTTTCCTTTTCTTTCATCTTTCTTTCATTTTCTTTTTTTCATGTATCTCTCACTCTCCCTTGTCCTATTTCTTTCTTCTCTTTTTCTCTCTTATTTCATATTCCTTCCTGTTCCCTTTTTCTTTCCTTTCCTTTCTCATTTTCTCCCCTCTCCCCTTTCCTTCTCCCCTTTCCCCCCTTTCCTTCCCGCCTTTCCCCCCTTTCCTTCCCGCCTTTCCCCCCTTCCCCTCACACTCCCCTTCCTCTTCCCAGGCATGTTCCAGCGCCTGGACAAACTCCGTAAAAACGCCTTCGCCAGCGTCATCCTCTTCGGCACCAACAACGACAGCAGCATCTCGGGCGTCTGGCTCTTCCGTGGGCAGGAGCTGGCCTTCCCGGTGAGCCCCCCAGCCCCAAAAAAACGGGACGGCCGTTAATTTGGGGAGGCGGGGGGAGGAATTCTGAGCCGTGCCGGCATTTCTTTCCCAGCTGAGCCCGGACTGGCAGGTGGATTACGAATCCTACACGTGGCGGAAGCTGGACAGCGAGAGCGCCGAGTGCAAGACGCTGGTGAAGGAATATTTCTTGTGGGAGGGGGAATTCAAACACGTCGGCAAACCCTTCAACCAGGGCAAGATCTTTAAGTGATGCCTGACCTCCGCCGGGCTCGTGCTGTCGCGGTTATTCCCTTCTCCGGCCCTAAATCCCAACGGAAATAAACCCGCGCCGGAGCGCCGCCGGCTCTGTCACCTGCGGCTCCCCGGTGATGGCGGCGGAGGGGGGACGGGGACGCGGTTCCTCCCGGGGAACCGGCGCTGGTTTCGGTGGTTTTGGTAAACGCCGCTCCTGCCGCTGCTTCCTCCTGGGGTGGGAGGGTGGTGACGCACCCGAAAAATGGGGAAGGGGAACACGACAGAGACCTGCCCCCCCCCGCAAAAATCCATTTGCACTTTTGGCGCGGCCACCTCCCTCCGTGGCCTCTGCCCCCTCGTCCCGATAAACCGTGGGGCTGAGCCGTGGGGCTGAGCCAGGCTTCCGCCGGGATTGGGGGGGGGACACAGGGAGCCCCCCCCGACCGGGGTGACTCATCCCAGCGCCGGTGACTCAGTCACCTCGAGGTGGGGGGGGCCGGGCTCTGCCCCATAGCGCTTGGGGGGGGGGCTCTGCCCCACATTTTTCCGTGGGGCTGGTTATGGGGGGGG